CCCAGAGATAATGTCTGTTGTTTGTAAGTAAACTTTGTACAAGATCAATCTTTTCATAAATGCCGTTGTTGATAATATACTTTAGCAGCAGAGGGCTGTGTCCTTCCAGTCAATTGCCACAAAACACACCGTATAATGCAAAATTACTCAAAACCACGCACAAAAGAATGACTTAAAAGGGACACAATTGAGCGAGGTGCACAACCTGCACAATGACCCCCAAGATGCAGGAAGGATAGCAACCCCATGGAAAGAATGCAATACACAGAGGCACAGACACGGGTTCAAGGAAGTCAGACAGACACCTGCTTCCTCTCCCCAGGGCGCAAATACTCCGCAACTTTGGGGAAGATGCAGGAGGATGTGAAAACCAGCAATCGCACCCTGGCTGCGGTATTAGTTGATTTTCAACAACAGGGTAAGTCACAAAATCCCAGATTTGGGAATGAAAATATCCGGCAAATCTCTGTGGGGGATAGGGTGCGCTGCTGTGATGTGGCAGGGCCCAAGGTGGGGGAAATTTGGAGAATCACTTTCCTAGGGTCTAGTCTTCCATAGATGATTAACCCAGGGGTCTCCAACCTTGACTGCTTTAAGACTAGTGGACTTCAACTCCCAGAATTCCCCAGTCTGCCATGTTGGCTGGAGAACTCTGGGAGTTGAAGTCCACCCATCTTCCAGCCAATAAGGTTGAGAAATATTGCTCCGATTTTTTCAATGTCTTTCCCAGAGGCCAACTATTCAGAAGATCTCCAAAAAGTCGACAGGTTGGTAAAACAGAACGCAGAAGGCAAGGAAGGTAAATTTGGGGGTAAGGGAGGTGTTTGGAAGTCCACCTTGCCCCTTCCCCCCCATTTTGGGGAGACCCTCCCCCATCGGGAGTCAACACCAACCAGGGACCTTTCCCTTCTCCACTTCCAGCGATGTCCCATTTCCAGGATCAGATCAAGAAACTTCAAGAAACTTTCAAGAAAATAAACTGTGCTTTGGAGGACGTTAAGCACAAGAGGGAAGGTGAGTTGGGTGTTTGGGGGTCAGTGCTGGGTACGGGGAGGATGGGCTGAGGGCGGTGGGACGTTCCCAGCCCAGTGTCCTCCCGATCTTTCAATTACACAAATAATCCTCGGCTTATCACCACAGTTGAGCTCAAAATCCCCGCTGCTAAGCAAAACATTTGCTAGGTGACGTTTGCTCCAGTTTACGACCAGGATTGTTAAGTGAATCACTGCAGTTGTTAAGTAACTAACACGGTTGTTAAGCGAATCCAGCTTCCCCATTGTGTTTGTTCGTCCAAAGGATGATTGCAGAACCTCAGGACACAGTGACCATGGTAAACACGAGCCGCTTGCCCAGCATCCGAATTTTGACCAGAGGGATGTTGCAAGTGGGGGAACATGGTCCTTACGTCCCTATTTGCAGTGCCGTCGTAGCTTTGAACGGTCACTAAACCGATGTTGTAAGCCGAGGACTGGCTGTATCATGGATTGGCTGCCAGCTGCTGGGATCGGCTACCTGCGGCATCCGTGTCCCCTCTCCCAGGAAATAGGGGTGTTCCCTGTCCCAACTGTAATGGGGTGTCCCTCTTGCTCCCCCCATCTCTTCTCTTCAGCGGGGGGCTGCTGCCCCAGAGGCTGGCACCTGTTTCAGCGGAGCTGCTACTGGCTCTCCCCTACTCTGACCACCTGGGCCGCAGCCAAAGGGGACTGCGAAGAGAAGAACGCCCACTTGGTGGTCCTCACTAACTACCTAGAGAAGGTCAGTGCCTCGATTTCTCGGAGAGGGAGGTGGGGTCTGGTCAAAGGCGCCAGACTGGTGGGAAGCCGAGACCCTCGGTTTCCTGCTCATGCCCGCTCTGGTTTCCCCCCCCCTCTCCACTCTTCTTTGTGTAGCAATTTGTGTTACGACTCATCAAACCTCACAGCCCTTGGATTGGTCTGAAGTACAATGGCGAGATGTGGAAGTGGGTGGATGGGACCACCTACACAAAGCGCAGGATGTGAGTCTCCCTGTTGGTTTCCTCTCTTCCGGCCCCACTCGGATCGGGCTTCTGCAACCAGGCGCCCTGCGGTCCAGGTGTTTTTGGGCATCATTCGCAACTAGCAGCTTCCGTTTGTGGTGGTACACTTGTATGCTTGTCCTCCTCCTGAGCTAAGGTCCTGTTTTGGTCCACCTGTGCTGAAACCCGCCCTGACCTAATTGACTCCTGGAAAAAAGCGAGTCGGTGGGCTTCATTTCCCAGCACGAGCCCCTTAGGAACCCCAAGTGCACAGGAGCCACAGTGGAAGCCCTCCAAGTGTCCGAGGAACAGATGTGGGGCTCGAGTGGCAGATCGCGCGATCACGATGGGATCTTGTTGCACATGCAGGAAGCGCATGGTTAGGCCCCATGGATCCTTGGGCCCAGGCTGCCCTGGACAAAATGGTTGTGCCCCATGGGTTCTGGGTATTCATTTATAGCAGGGCTGTAAAACTCCCGGCCCCGGACCAGATGCTGGCCACGCCCGGTTTCAATCCCTAGAATTCCTTTTAAGATGTCTGGACCTCAACTCCCAGAATTCCTTTAATTAATATGTGTGGACTTCAACTCCCAGAATTCCCTTTAAGATGTCTGCACACAAATACCCAGAATTCCTCAGCCAGCATGCCAGGGGTGGGTTGCTACGGGTTCGCACTAGTTTGAGTGAACCGGTAGTGGAAATTGCGACTGGGTTGCCGAAACGGTCGGGATGGCTGGCTGGCTGGCCATGCCCCTGAACTGGTTCCCCAGCTGCCCATTTGTTGCTGGCATGTTTTTTTTTACCCCTTTTTAAGTGTTCTGTGCATGTATAGAACATTTTTTTGGAAACTGCGCATGAACACAAATCAGCATGTGCAGCGAACTGGCAGTAACACCAGGAGCAACCCACCCCTGGCATGCTGGCTGAGGAATTCTGGGTA